AATTTTTTATTCCTTCTTATTCTCTAAACACAGAACTATGTCACTTTAGTTATTTTAGCTTAATCTTTTTTTAAGGCAATCCTATTCTCACCAGCTTTCTTTCCTTCACCTTCCATCCACCATGGTTTGTTTCCCCTTTCCCTAATTTTGGAGTTTTACTTAGGTCCTTTTTTATTCTTTTTTTATCTAGTTATTTAATTCTTCCTCTCTTTTATTCCTCCCAGTTAAGCAGTCAAGTAGGATCCTTCTTACTCTTCTCCATTATACAATGTTGATTCATTAGTGTCTAAAATTTTATTTTTATCCAGAGTCACACAGCTAAGTGAGTCTTCTGTGTCTAAGTCCAGATTTGAACTCAGGTTCTACTGACTCTAGGGCTGGTGCCTTTATCCACTGCACCACCTAGCTTCCCTGGCATAATTTTTTTTTTGCCTTTTTGGTGAGGCAATCAGGGTTAAGTGACTTGCCCGGGGTCACACAGCTAGTAAGTGTCATGTGTCTGAGGTCAGATTGGAACTCAGGTCCTCCTGACTCCAAGGCTAGAGCTCTATCCACTGTACCACCTAGCTGCCCCTCATCATTTTCAAAAAAGGAATTTGACCCTTCATTTTTTTTATTATTTATCTTCAATTTCTATGTATTCTAGATTTTTATGCTTTGATTCATGATCTTTGTGCTTATTCTTATTTTTTTTTTAGTCTCTGTATTACTCATGGAATTAAAGTATCTCAAGGTCCTACTTTGGGTTCCTTTGTCTAAACTGTATGTCCTTGTCTTGTGGATCTTGACCCTGGTTTCCCATGTAGGATATGAAAGATGTCTTGTAGTCCTTGAAACACTTGTGATCTGCACAGCGTTCTTTACTGTCCAGAGACTTTTGGGGGAAATTCAAGAATTGAGCCATGTATTTGGGATAAGGACAGACTTACTGGCAACTGGCTGGGAGGTGATCAATGAATCTTTGACTGGCATGATGGATGGCAGGTTTATATCCTTCTCCTCACTCAAGTCTTGTCCCCACAGCTGCTTTACAGAGCTCCTGTTCTGCTGTCAGCTTCTCTTATATATATATATGTGTGTGTGTGTGTGTGTGTGTGTGTATGTGTATGTGTATGGATATGTGTGTATATCTCCTGTTGTTTTGTAGCACCTAAGGGATTTAGGACTGTGCCCGTCTGGCTGTTCAGAACAAAGTGGGGAAGAAGTCCTCTTGTCCTTTTGACTGAGGGGTCATAATGCAGAACTAATGAGAAGCTAGCATGAGAACCAGCAGGATTTGGGGTTTCCATGGAAAGAGACCAGTCACCATGGCAACCAGTGATCGAGACTAGCTGACATCACTTTCATGGACACTGAATTCTTCCTCAGCAGTGACCCCTAAGTCTAAAGGGCAGGGCTGGTCGCTTCCTAGAGGCCATGTTTGGGATCTGCCCTTTCTGCATAGACTTTGTCAGCATCCTGCTCCCTCCCATCCCCCCCATTCAGGAAAAAAAAAAAAGAGAGAATCTACCCGAGAGACAATCCAGGTGAAAAGAAAGGGGAACACAGTAATCTTTAATGCATTTCCTTAAGCACTCCTCTCCAACTAGCCTCCATAGTCCCATTAGGGATGCAGGAACTAGCCTTGAGGTTCCTGCCTAGGGTTCATATTGGGATCCTCTTTTGTTTTCCTTCTTTAAAAAAATAATTTATTTTAAACTTAAATACTAAAACTTAAATACGAAATAAGAAAAGAAAAAAAAAGGATTGCTATGTGCACAGCAGAATGAGAGGATTCAAAATATAAAGCGATAAATTTCCATTTCAAGAAAGCCCATATAATAAATACTATATACACTGTATTCAGAAGTGTCTATCTTTTCTTTGCTTCCTTGTAGGTTTTCTTTTGTTCTCTGCTGTGCACTTTTTACTTTATTCTTTCCGCCCTTTCCTCCCCTGTCCCCCAAGAAGGCTACAATTAAGCGTAGAGAGACACACACACATACGTATACATACATATATACATCTATAAACTTACAAACATATACATAGATATAATCATATACACACATATATGTGTATATATACATTCATATGCATCTATGTAAGACCATACTATGCTTGTTTGTTCTCTGTTTCTCTGAAGGTGGATAAAATCTTCCTTTGTAAGTCCAAGTATTTCTATATTTTCTAAATCCACCAACTCATCATTTCCTATACTACAGCAATATTCCAACCTTATACTGTCTAGTTATTTTAAATAGTCTAAAACAGATTAATAAAATAAATTAATATGGCCAAAATAGTATAGTTTCCCTATTTTTTCTTTTGATTAAATCTATTTTAACTCTATCTACAATCATGATTATTACTCCTGCTTTTTTTTTCTAATGAATTCTACTCCTGATCTTTATTTTATGTTTCTATGTATCTTTTATTTCCTATCCCTCCTGACTCCTGTTGTTTTACTTCTACCCACTACCTTGTCCTCCTGTTACTTAATCTACCCACCCTAGGATCCCTCCCTTATCCTCTCCCCCATCCCTATCCCCTTAGCATTTTATTTCTTTCTGAATTTTGAAGACTTTTATACCCTTCTAGAAATAGGTGTACTGTTCCCTCTTGAACTCATTCCCGATGAGAGTAGGGTTCCCAGAACTACCAGCCCTCCTCCCCCATCTCATTCCTCTGTGTCGGTTCTTCCTCTCGCACCTCATTTGTATAAGATCATTACTCTTTTTAACTGCTCCTAGGTGGTTTACTTTTTGGTATCACATCATATTCAGCTCTACCCTAATCTCTTTTACAAACTACCCAATGACTAATAATAATCTTAGATATACATTTTACATTTGCTTGTATAAAAAGTAAACAGTCTGTTCTTATTGAGTCTCTTGTAATTAGTCTTTGATGTTTACCTTATATTTCACTTGGATCTTGTATGTCAAATTTTCTATTGATTTTGAATCTTTTTGTGACAAAATCCTGAAAGTCTGGCAGTTTGTTGAATGTCCACTTTTTTTGGTTGTTCAGGATTATGCTTAACTTTGCTGGGTATGATATTTACGGCCGCAACCCCAGTTCTTTTGCTCTTCAATATATAGTGTTCCAAGACCTGTGGTCTATTAGTATAGCCACTCCTAGGTCTTGTGTGATTTTAATTGTGGCTCAGCCATATTTGAATTGTTTTTTGCTTGTTGCTCATAATATTTTGTCCTTGAGCTGGGGGTTTCAGAATCTGACTATGATATTTCTATAGGTTTTCCTTGTAGGATCTCTTTCAGGTGGTGATTGGTGGATTTTTTTCTATTTCTACTCTCCCCTCTCTTATAACATTTCAGGACAATTTTCTTTAATTATTTCTTGTATTATTTGGTCAAGATTCTTAGCTTTCAGGTACTCTGATTATTCTTATTCTTATTATTTTTGATCTGTTCTCCAGATCAGTTGTTTTTCTTATGAGATGTTTCACATTCGCTTCTATCTTTTATTCTTTACATTTTGTTTTATTATTTCTTGGTATCTTATAACTTTGCTGGCTTCCCCTTGCCCAATTCTAATTTTCTAGAAGTTGGTTTATGATCTTCTTTTACTGCAGAGACTTTACCAGCATGCCTTCTCCCCTCTTCCCACCTCCATTCAACAACTGGCAGACAGATTCTTCCCACTTATTTTAGAAGGGTGTACTGGTGGGTGGCCCTGAAAGGGAGCTGCATTCTGTTTGTGGTCATTCCTAGGTTAGGGACCCCCAAATTTGTAGAGACTCTACCCAGGTTACCTTCCATATCTTCTCTCCACACTGATTTAGCCTAGACCCAATAGGAAAGGAGAATCATGGGAGGAACTGGGTCAAGGAACCATGCTTGCTGGCTCCAAATCCAAAACCAGAGGCCTTTCCAATACATCATAGTAAATGAGTAGAACTTACAGGTCAATGGTAGATACTTAACGACGCAAGAGTGAACACTTTATGTGTCCCTAAAATTACCCTTCACAGACAGAGGTCAGGCTTGTGGAAAAGTTTCACTATTTCACATGTCAGAATTTTTTCAATTGTCAAAGCACTTCCATTTCTCAGGAAATTAATAGATCATCAATTGACTCTACCCTCAATCAGCCTGTTGGAATGAACACACCAGGTCTAGGAATTTATGGGATTCTTCTAGTGTAGAAGTTCATGGGTTCTGTCTTGTGGAAATTTGTGAGGATGTGCTGCACCAAGCCATCTCCACTTGCCATCACAGCCATGGCAGTGTAATAATTGTGTGACTCCAAGGGTTGAAGTATGCACTTCTGTACCCCTTTCTGCCCCCCCATTTTTTTCAATGGGATACTTTAATTACTGCCAGGAGGGGAAGTAGAAAGATAGAGCCAACAGGAGCTTGGATTCTTGATCTCTGCTCTCCTCAGAGACAGGAACTGAGCTAATATTGCATCTCTCTGCTACTTTCAATATTTTTAGTCTATGGCATGTAATCAGGTTCACCCTAACTTCTGATTTCTGTTTGATTACTGAAAGCAAGGTGGACTTCAGTTCTGATATTCACGACTTGCCTTCCTCTTCCATCAAATACCATTTCCACAATGAACACACATAGAATGTAGCAAAGAAAACCATTTGTCCCAATCACAGCAAAACAGAAATTTGAGAAAATATACACAAAAAACTACATACCAGAAAAAGGAGCGCTCCCATTGGGAGCAAGGTAACTCAGCCAAGAGAGAAGGTCCTAGACCTCATCCAAAGGAAAGTTCTCCAGTGTCTCTAGGAAAGGAAGCTGCGGATAGGGACCTGATGGAGGCTGATAGTTCCTCTCCTACCCGTTTCTTACTAGAGTCTTGTCCTTCAGCAACCAGACATGCAGTTGACCTTGTCCATCTTCCTTCTTGAAGCTGGAAGCCAGAAGCATCTGAATCAACTACAAAGCCAGAAGTGACTTGAGGAGTGAAGAGAATTAAAAGAAGATGGAAGAGAGTTCATCTCTCTCCCTTTTGCCACTTTCACCCTGCCCCTGATTCAGGGCAGGGCATTCATCTGGACCAGTGAGGAGAGAATTCTGTTCCAATGGACTTTGGGTCTGGGGCCACACCTAGAACTGGGTAAAAGTCATTTGACCAAAGAAAAACCAAGCTTATCTCTTGGTACTGTGACACAGAGTTGGGAATCAGGGAGCTTCCAGGAATCAAACAAAAGGCCTGGAAGTTTCCACAATCACTCTCTTTAAGTGTGTATGTTTCACAATCAATGGAAGATTATGTCTAAACAATGGAAAGACACAACACAAGAAGAAAGCAAGATGCTTTAGTCCTATGCAATATCTTGAGGTTTGTCCTCAAATAGCCTATGACCTCTAGGAGGGGTTCATGAAATTCTAAAGAAAAAACCTCAATCCAGATTGTTGGAATCCCAAAGTGTAATCAATAATTTGGCCTGACAGAGAGATTTTTGCTATATTTTTCAGGTTAATGTAATTACACCATGATTCCACTCAATTGAAAGAATTGGTCTATTTCCATAGAAAAGAATGAAATCCTGCATTTGAGGAGGTTCCAGGTTCCTTGAAGTTTCAGAGCATCTAAACCAATGAAATTGAGGGCTTTCTCTAATGACCAAGATACACACTGGGGTATCCAGTACCATGCCAGAGTCTCTTCACTGGCATGCAACCCAAAAACATTATTCCTTTTCAGTGTGTACAACTGTCAATTGAAAGGATACATTACTTCAATTAAAAGGAAAGAGCATATGGCAAAAGGAAAGCAAGATACTTCCAGGTTGTGGAATACCTTCATCTAATATGCAGTGGAGACCTCCAATTCATGTCATATTGCTTTCTATATTGGGAATGATGTTAACATTTCAGGAAAATAACAAAGTAATGCAGAGACATTGATGTATGTAAACAGAAATCAGGTTCATTCCTTGAGTTAAAGTCATTATCTATATTGTTCATCTTTCTTCCAGTTAGGTTGTTCTTGAAGTCAAATGAATCTGGCTTTATCTTTCAACAGACTGGAATGAAATGTTTATTTATTTTGCAAAAATAGCTTAGAAAGGGGTGAGTTATTTGACCAATGAAAACTCATTATTATCTCTTGGAACCATGACAGAGAATTCAAAAATGGAGCTTCCTGGAGCCTCATAAATGGCTTGGAACTCACCAAATTCACTGTCTTCATGGGTATTTGTGTGTCTTCATACATGTGTATGATTCACAATCAACTGGATAGTTTATGTCTCTATCATGGAAAGATCTACTGCAGGAGGAATACAATGCACTTAACTTCCAATTAATTTCATGATGTCCTTCATTAAGCAGTCTAACCATCATTCCACTGCACATCATGATATTTTGTTTAAGAGGAATACTGGAAACATTAAGGGAAAAGCACAATGTGGACTACTGCCTGCCTGCTCTCTGTCTACATCTGAACTGAGAGAAGAGCTCCTCAGGGTCAAAGCCATGGCTCAAGCACCTGTTGGTGTTGTCCTGTGCCCATGCAACCAGGGGCCTTTAGATCCAGCTCAGATTGAGCAGCTCATTTGTAAGGGCCAAGAAGCCAAGGAGTTTGTCTACTGTCCCTACAGTAACTTCCCAGTGGGGGCAGCTCTCCTGACTCTGGATGGGAAGATTTTTTTAGGATGCAACATAGAAAATGCTTCCTACCCAGTAGGCACCTGTGCAGAATGCACTGCCATTCAGAAGGCCATCTCAGAAGGACACAAAGAGTTCCAAGCCATTGCTATTACCAGTAATTTGGAGAATTGACTTTATCACACCATGTGGAGCATATAGACAAGTGATAAGAGAATTTGGGGAGGCAGCTAGGTGGTGCAATGGCTAGAGCTCTGACCTTGGAGTCAGGAGGACCTGAGTTCAAATCCAGCCTCAGACACATAACAGTTACTATCTGTGTGACCCTGGGCAAGTCACTTAACCTTGATTGCCTCACAAAAAAAAAAAGAGTTTGGAAAACACTGGTATGTCTACATCACAAAAGCAGATGGTATGTATGAAGTCATGATGGTCCATGAACTACTGCCTGGATTGTTTGGACCAGATGAACTGCAGAAGAACTAGTGAACCCTGATGATGGAATTGTCCAATTGAGAGACTTTTCAACCTGGGAGAAGATTTGCTCTCAGTATTGTCCAGTAGCATCATCCCCAGAGCAATACCGATATGAATCAATCCCAGTGCCAACTATGTCCTAAGCAATGGCTGCTTCTGCATCTCCTGATCAGTCTATGGACCTCTTTGTCATTTATATTTGAAGTGCCTTGAACATACTATATGGTAATAGTGGAAAGAATAGCCTGGGATTCAAGAGACCTGTGTTGTATTCCCAGCTTTGCTTCTAACTTCTTATGTGACCTTACAGTAGTCATTTAGCTTCTCCAGTTTCCTTTTCTGTCAAATCAGAATGTTGGCCTAAATCAGGGATTCTTAATCTTGTTTATATCCTGGACCCCTTGGGCAATCTGGTGAAGCCTATAGACCCTTTCTCAAAAGGATGTTTTTAAATGCACAAAATAAAATACATAGGATTACAAAGGAAACCAATTATATTGAAATACTAATAGCAAAATATTTAAAAAACAACAACAAAAACAAAAACAAGGTCACAGAGCCCAGGTTAAGAATCTTTGGTCTAGGTAGTATCCGAGGTTCTTTCCAACTCAAATATTCTATGTGTTAAGGTCCATCCTCTGTGTTACAGTTCCGCTTTTACATTCTCTGTTCTCCAGTTTCTACTGTTCTCAGACCCTCCTTAGAAACTGTAGCCTTCATTGAAACTAGGTGCCAATTAGGAATCCTGCTGACAGCAAAGATCTTTCTCCCTGTTTCTACCTTCCATTGTGGATGGGGTCATGAAGTAATTTAAAAGAATTATCCAGTTATTATATTAATTCTGCTTAGCTGGAACCAAAATAATCACTCTTTGGTGGCCAACCTTCTGATGACTTTAGTTGGAACTATGGGGGCCAAAGTTATTGTGTATTCATGGCTTGAGTCCAGTTTCCTCTCTGGATTCTGTATCTCATATTCGATGAGGACCATCCCACTCACAGCAAAGCCAAAACCAGAAGGTGTGGCTCCTCCCCAATTGCTACTCAAACAACCCAAAATGTCATATAACAACCGAGAAAGGATATACAGCTCTGATGTTTAAGTGACATGTCAGATCTGTATGTCCTTTCTGGGTTGCTGCATATTGAAATGTGCATTGTCTTGCACTAGTCCCCCTCCAAGTCCAAGCTTGGGAGGAAGATGGTCCTCCATGGTCCTAGTGATAGTGTTGTTGTGCAGACCTATCACTGCCTCAATTTATCCTCTGATTATCTTGACCTATCCTCTGCTGATTCGGCATTGTGAGTTTTTTTATATCCATAGTCTTCCTGTAGCATCTGGCTAATTTCATGTACCAGCCCCAAGTAATAAGGAGTACCTAACTTTTTCATCTGTCATTTCTTTTCCTGAATCCTTGATATAATATACTTGGAGTGTTACATTCTTAAAGTTAATGATGTTACTGTAAATATCATAGAAGGGCCTCAACCAGCCTCTGCTCACTCCAGCTCATACCCAGTTTAACTATTTGGTCACCATAATACTCCTCCTCTCTTAACAAATCCAATAGAATAACAATAATCAACAAGTAAGACAAGTCAGCAAACATTTATTAAGTGCCTACTAAGTGCCAGGTACTGTGCTAAGGGCTGGGGATACAAAGAAAGGCAAAAAACAGTCCCTGTCCACAAGGCGTTCACAGTCTAATGGAGGAGACAACATAGAATTATGTACAAACAAGATAAGATGAGATAAATTGCTGGTAGTCTCAGAGGGAAGGCACCAAGGTCATGGAGGACTAGGGTAATTAGGAGGACCTGTGATTTCATTGCTATAGTGAACACTCAGATAAGGAAATTCCTTCTACCAAGGCAGGTCAGCCCCTTCCCTGCAACTTTATAGTGTCAGAGTAGTTTGGGGCATTGAGGGGTTAAGTGATTTGCTCAGGATTCCACCACCAGTATGTGTCCAGGAAGTTCAGCTCATCTTGGCTTCAAGGCTGGATTTTCATCTACTACATAGCTTTGCTTCAACAGTGTAAGAGAGTAAATGATTACCGTACGCAAGAAACACAGTACATGGTGTAGAGTCTCAAATTGGTTCCCAGCTATCGGCCTATATCATCTCCCCAATGTATTATTTCACCTGTCATTTCCTCTCTGGCAGATGCCATGAAGCCACCCTTCATATATTTTATTTTTTTGTTTGTTTGTTTTTGAGAGGCAATCAGGGTCAAATGACTCGCCTAGGGTCACACAGCTAGGAAGTGTCTCAGGCTGGATTTGAACTCAGGTCCTCCTGACTCCAGTGCTGGTGTTCTATCCACTGCTCCATCTAGCTGCACCCTGTCCCCCCAACTTCACATACTTTAAGAGGAAGGGATGGGAGGGAGGGTGAAAAATTTGGAACTCAATATTTTGTAAAAATGAATGTTAAAAATTGTCTTTACACATAATTGGAAAAATAAAATACTATTTTAAAAAAGAAAGCTCAATATGTTCTGTTTGATTCACATGATATGATAAGGGCCCTGGGACATTGCCCGACAAAGATGCCTTTCTTATATTCCACAGGGTTTTGAGCAATTTTGGTGTGACTCCACTCAATAGAAAGGTTTATTTTGTTTCCAAAGAAATCAGTGAAATTTTCACTTGAGGAGACTGCAGGCTACATGGAGATACAGGGCATCTAAACTAACCAAATTGAGTGATTTCTCTAGGAAAAAGGCACACACATGGATATCTAGTATTGTGTTGCAATCTACTAAAAGGCATGCAACTGACCTATCTTACTTCTTTTCTGTTCGTACAGTTTTCAATTGAAGGGAAAGGATACTTCGACAAAAAATAAAGGCCCATGGCTAAAGCAAGATAATTAATGCTAATGTTTGTGGAGGACCTTCATCTACTGTCCCATGAAGGACTCCAAATGATGTCACATTGCTATTTACATTGGGAATAATGGCAACCCTTTGGGAACAATACATAATAATCCAGAGACATTACTGTATCTAAAGAGAAATCTCTAGTCTGTTCTCCCCCACCCTTCTCCAAGGGAGACTTTCATTTCTGCCAGGAGAGGGAGCAGGGTATTAGAGAAGAAGGCCACTTTGGTTTCTTTTTTAAATTATTTTGTTTTATTTTTTGGTTTCTTAAGAGAGTGGGGGGGTACAGGTTAGAAGTATAGCTATCTTCTTTAAATATTAATATTTTAGGGAATATGATTGGGTTCAATCTAGATTCTGATCCATTTGTAATTTGGGGGGCAAAGAGGGACTCCAAGCTCTATATCCAAAGCTTGAACCCTATCCTACTGTAAACCAGTTCCACAATGAACACATATGGAGAATAGTAAAGAAACCCATGTATCCAAATCATAGCAAAACAGAAATCTGAGTAAGTACACATAGGAGGATATATATCAGGCAATAATGAGTGAAGGAGCTCTCCCACTGGGAGCAAGGTAACTCAGTCCAGTCAAGAGAGAGGATCCTGGATCTCACTCAAGGGGAAACTCTCTGAACTTTTTAGTATAACAAGCAGGGAATAGGGACAAGAAGGAGCCTGCAAGTTCTTCTCAAGTTTTTCTAGAGTCATTTCCTTCAGTAATCTGAAGGGAGTTGGCTTCTTCATCTTCTCTCTTTAAAATGGAAGGCAGGCAAAGAAGAAACAAAGCTATCACTCTTTGCAGATGATATAATGATATACTTAGAGAATCCTAGAGAATGAAGTAAAAAACTACTTGAAATAATAAACAACTTTAGCAAAGTTGCAGGCTATAAAATAAACCCACATAAATCATTGGCTTTTCTATATGTAACCAACAAAGCCCAACAGCAAGAGATAGAAAGAGAAATTCCATTTAAACTTACTGTAGACATTAGAAAATATATGGGAATCTACCTCCTGAAACAAACCCAAGAACTATATGAACACAATTACAAAACACTTTTCACACAAATAAAGTCAGATCTAAATAATTGGAAAAACATCAATTGCTCATGGGTAGGCCGAGCTAATATAATAAAAATGACAATTCTATCTAAGCTAATTTACTTATTCAGTGCCATACCAATGAAACTACCAAAAATTATTTTATAGAGTTAGAAAAAGTAATAACAAGATTCATTTGTAAAACAAAAGGTCCAGAATATCAAAGGGAACTAATGAAAAGAAATGCAGGGGAAGGTGGTCTAGCCATTCCAGATCTTAAACTGTATTATAAAGCAGCAATCATCAAAACTGCTTGGTACTGGCTAAAAAATAGAGTGGTGGATCAGTGGAATAAGTAAAGTATGTAAGACACAGTAGTCAATGACTATAGTAATCTATTATTTGATAAACCCAAAGACCCCAGCTTCTGGGATAAGAACCCACTCTTTTGACAAAAACTGCTGGGAAAACTGGAAAAGAGTATGGGAGAAACTAGGCATAGACCAAAATCTCACACCATATATACCAAAATAAAGTCAAAGTGGGTTCATGATTTAGATATAAAGGCTGATACTCCTAGCAAACTGGGAGAGCAAGGAATAGTTTACCTGTCAGATTCATGGAGAACAGAAGAATTCATGACCAAACAGGAGATAGAGAACATTACGAAAAGCAAAATGGATAACTTTGATTACATTAAATTGAAAAGTTTTTGCACATACAAAGCCAATGCAACCAAGATTAGAGGTAGAAAATTGGGAAAGAATTTTTACAACCAGTCTCTCTGATAAGGGTCTCATTTCTAAAATATATAGAGAATTAAGTCAAATTGATAAGAATACAAACCATTCCCCAATTGATAAATGGTCAAAGGATATGAACAGACAGTTCTCAGATGAAGAAATTAAAGCCATCTATAGTCATATGAAAAAATGCTCTAAATCACTATTAATTAGAGAAATGCAAATCAAAACAACTCTGAGGTACCACATCACACCTATCAGATTGGCCAACATGACAAAATAGGAAAATGATAAATGTTGGAGAAGATGTGGGAAAACTGGAACATGAATGCTT